TCTCATCTGCTCTGCCCCATGTCCTAAGCCCTACGGTTCCCAAACAGTCTATATATTCCATGTCTTTTAAAATCCATGTAATTTTGTATGCATCAAGTAATAGTTATTTCTAATAGTGGTTTACCCAGATACTTGCACTGTATACTTTTTCATATTTCTGTATTATTTATATATATTTTATATAAATATATATATTTGTGTGTACATATATATTTTTGTATTATTTCTGAACTATTTTAGCCATTAGTAAAAATAAACAAATATCTAAATACTTAGCTTAGTTTGCAGTGGACCAGTGATGGGGATCAGGGATTGGGGGTTTCTTCCAAGTGTGAGTGAAGAAGATAGCCTCCTATATACTTAGGGGTACTATGAAACCCATATTCATATACTTTTATGTTTTGCTTTAGAATGTGGTTTAGGACTTAGGGGATTACACAGGTATAAGTTCCTCAAAGGATCCAAGCTGACCCAGAGGAATCATTCCAATAGCTCACTAAGGGGAGTGAAAAACCGGCCTTTTCCTTCCAAAGCAAATGTGGGTCACAAATAACACACCCAGCAAATATTACACCAGTAATACTGAGATGGCGGTTTCTCTTCGACAGATAAATTACAAAGCCTCAAACTTCCAGTTACAGTTCAATAAAGCCCTCCTGAAATCAAAAGGCATTTTCCACTCTCAAAGAAAAGAAAAGAAAAGAAAAAGGTAAGTATGACCAAAAGTCATAGTACCTTGTATAGCCCCAGGAAACAGGCAGAACTTTATTAATCTTTAGATTAATATTTGGTCACCTTATAAAAAAGTGGCTACCCTGGGTCTCTCAAGCAGACTTATTAGATCTCTAAAGAAAAAAAAATATCTTAAGTAATAAATAAATATCTAAACAAATAAATGCCACAGGCTCAAATCCCCACAATTCACAGGAACAATTTTATTGCCCTTTTTACTGTTCTCGATATCACGAAAGTTTACAATTAATAGCCAGCAACATGAAAGAAGAAGAAGATAGGGAAAAGGTTTATTGCTTTAGAAACAGGGCGCTCCCTCTCAGCTCTGTAACGATGCTTCTTTCTCAGTGTCACTGAATAAGGGAGGCAGAATAAAACATGTTCTTAATGTGGGTGCCATGCATTTCGACAGGGATAAGCTGATGTGTGGTGGAGGAGGGTGTTGACCGTGCTCCCTAAAGCAATTACTGCCAATGACAGACCGCGTAAATTTCATATTGCCTCCGAGCAGGATAAAAAATGTGCCGAGGGGCATCTGAGTTTGAATTAAGACAATCAAAATGCCAAAGGGGAAAGAATATCTAAGGTTAAAATAAAAGACTGATCCAGAGGATTGTGAATTCTTTTTTGTTCTTTTTTTTCCCCTTACACAGACTTGATTTCAGATTTATCTCTAGTTCGTCCATGTGTTTCAACAAACACATGCCAGGAACTAAAAACCCTGATCATAATAAGAAATAGTATCCCCCTTTTTTAAAAAAAATCCAAATAACTCAGTATTCATTAAAGCAGGGCATGTTCTAATCTTACTACATATTAATAGCATTATAAACAACACTTGACTAGGATTTGTGTTAATTTTATATTCTTGATAATTGGATCAGGGCAGAATTCATGCTGCTTTTTATGACATTCACAATAACACACACACACACACACACACACACACACACACACACACGATGTTGCAGTGCTGTTTCTGAGTTATTTAGAAAATAAGCCATTTGGGCACATACCGAAAGGACAACTTACAAAGTATTTTCCCTTATGATAAGTGTTTTTCTTTTTATTCCTTCTGTGGTTCTTTGGCCACTAAGGCTTGGGCATCAAGTCTACTGGGGAAGGAAAGGCAGTTTATCCCACAGCAGTGAAGTCCACGGAGCAAGGGGACACCCAGACATGAGAAGGAAGAAAAGCAGGACAAAGACTGAAGACCTCCAAGACCCTGATTTTCTCCTTCCTCCCCCAAAAGGGCTGGACTGAAAGAAGGAGGTGGCAGAAATGTTGGGGCCAGCACCCTGCATGCCATAGAAATGTGGGGAGACCCACCTTTCTGAGACAAGTGTTTAGGGTGGGATGAAGGCAAATAGGGTAAAAGATATGGGTCTAGGGTCCTCCTCTGTGGCAGATCAGGAGAGAGGAAGATACCTCATGACCAGAAGGCATGAGCAAGTCTGCGGTCAGCAGCAGCAGGGAACCAGTGCAAGCCAAGACCGAACCAGCACAGGCATGGGACAGTGACTGCCAACTTGATTCCTGGGCCGTGTCCGCATACCACAGTAGGACACATTCATCCCCAACAGTCAGCACAAACAAGAGTCACCTCCTTCTTCCTGTCCTCCTCTGAGGTTACTAACCTTCTTAATCAGATACCACCCAGGGAGAGGAGAATGAAGAAGAGGGAATCAGCATTTATGCAAAAGAGACAGTCCACCTGAAAACAGCTGTCTTAAACAGGAAGGGTCTGAGTTACCTTTACTTGGCAAGTTTGTTTCTCTCCCTTACTAGGATGAGAGGGTGGCTTGTCTTCCAACTTTCTCAGCAGCAGAATCCTTATTTTCAGCTGTGTATGCTGCTAACCAACCACAAGATTATACCACCACCACCCCTGCAGTCACAGGTGACCGTGTCTCAGCCAGTAAGATGGAAATAGAAATACTATGTGGCACTCCCATAAAATCTCTTCAAAGGGTATGAGCAGAGACTTCTCTCCTTCCTCTATCTTGTTGCTAGGAGCTTGGCTGTGATGTCTGGTATCCCAGCAACCATTCTGGTCCATGAGTCAATGGCCACACTCTAAGGAAGGAGAACAAATAGCTAGGAACAGCCAGGATCCCTGGTGACTTTGTGGTACTACCATATCAGCCCCTTCTATCTCAGACTTCTTTTTCACATGAAAAAAAAAAAAGTTAACTTAATCTCCTTTCACTCTCCTTTATTATCCTATTACCCACTGCGACTGTATACAGTTGAGAAAGTTTGATAAAGTGGCTTGTGAGCAATATGAAAGAAATAAGTGAGAAAAATATAATATTTTACACACCTAAGATACAACATATCCTTATATAACATATATTTCTATAAAATATATATAAAATATATCGCCAGCTACACATATATTTATTTTGCTATATTTTCTGATATGTTGGTAGCAATTAGTGAGGTGTATATAGAGTAGGGGCCAAAGTCTATTTTTTAAAAAACTGTTAAAAATTATCCTAACAGGTAAATGCAGGCATTTGGGGGGAAACTGATTTGAACTGCTTGTCTTAAAAGGATGACAAACTGTTTGACAGATTGTCCCAATATAATAGAAACATAAATCAACTTTCAACAATTCTATGCATTTGTGACCTATGACAGAACCTGAAAGCCTGCACTCCCTGAACACATTTCTCTTTCCCTCCCCCATCATAGCCTAAGATAAAGGTGTGCAAAGGGTTCAGAGCAACTCCAGTCACATCATGAGTGTTTCAAAACTGCATTTGGACACTTCTATATACATGCATCAGACTGATAACACACATTTCAGAATCTGCCCAGGCCTTTTAAAACTCAAATGTATGTTGCAGAAAGGGGCTTAACAGTTAGCAAAATAGGAGCTATTTCCCCAGAGCTACCAAATCAAATTGTGGCCAACATATTGCTAGTTATTTGGAATTATTTATGTTCCTGTGAGAATAAAGAATCTAAGGTGAGGATTTTTTTTATCCTAATGATAAATACGCAGAGACCATAAAACCGCCTGTTAGCTGGCATAGACAATTGTATTAAAGAGAAACCTTGTAAATTTCAAAAGCCAACGAACAAGATGTAGAAAATTGCCTGCGTTTATGGTGCCATTTATCAAAAGACTTCCATAAGTGTTAGAAACTTATGTGTGTGCTCTGATGGCAAAAATTCACATTGGACCTAAAATGAAACAAAATTCTCCTTTAAAAAAAAAAAATCACAACATCAACTCCAGCCCATTAAGAGGGAGTTAAAACAGGCTAGATCCGTGCCTTTATTATTAAATGACTTGCAAGAACATCAAAACCTCATCGCTTACCCAGGAAGGAAGAGAAAGCGAGAAAAAAATTTACCTGATTAGACTTGAAAAAATGCTGAGCAGCTAGTTTGCAATATTGCATTAAAAATAAATATGCCTTCCCTTCCTGAGTCTTACTTGCATTTCCACCAGAGCCACACGGAGCCTTAGTTTTAAAAGCTAAATTTCAGGAATTCAAAGCTTGGCTGGAGGAAAACTCTTAAATGGGGGTCACTATTAGGAAAAAATAACAGTACTATCAGGAAGAAAAGCCAAATGTCAACTTAAGCTGTCATCTGTGGGGTGATGTGGCCACAGTGCCTGCCTCACTTGTCCTGAGGGCACAGGCAACAAGATGTCGCACATGTGCACTTTCCACATCCCACAGGGCAGGGATTTATGTGATTTCATTCATTGCATTATCCCATCCAGCAACCAGAACACCGCCTGGCACATCGCAGATGCTCCAAAAATATGTGTTAAACAAATAAAGGAACAGAAATAGAACAGAAATTGCTCAGAGGAGGCAGACAGCATGGTTTGTAGTAAGATGCCCTGTACTTCTCAGTGTGACAGAATTCGGCGGTTAAAGATGTCAGATCCAGCTACACGTGCGCTACCACTGAGACATCGGGTACAAAGCTGAGCTTCCCTATGCCGCAGGCCTCACCCCTGCAAAACGGGGAATAATAACAGGTCGGGTGTGGAGGATTAAATGCCAAGATGTATATAAATCTCTTAGCACAGTGGTTCTCAATGAGGGGGATTTTTGCCTCCCCGGGGACAGGTAGCAATGTCTTGCGACATTTTCAGGTGTCACAAATGGGAAAGAGTTGCTATTGGCATCTAGTGAACGGAGGCCAAGGATACTGCTCCAGATTCTAAAATGCTCATGACAGCCCTTCACAACACAGAATTTTCCAGCCACAGACGTCACAGATGTCCTCATCTGTAAACCCTTCCATCGCACACCACCTGATCAGAGCAAGGACTTGGTAAGTACTTAATATATTCAAGTGATTGAACTGTACAAGGCAAAAAGAACATGGCCCCTGTTCGTAGGTTTGGCTACTTCTTTTCTGAGGCTCAGATGAGTATCGTCTTAGTCCATCCTGGCCTCGTCTCATCAACCCCCGTCTCAGTTCGGCATTGGGAACACAATAGTCTCTAGGGTCCCTGGTGCACTAACCCCTTGGCTTTTTGTTGAAAAATCCTTGTGCTTTTCCCTGCTGGTTTTAGAGAAAGATGTGCCTGGGGCACAGTGGTCTAGCCTGGAGAGGCACAGGGCAGGATTTTAAATGGGTTCTTTGAAAGACCAACTTCAGAGCAAGAAGTGCTGAGGAAACTGGGGCCCTTCCTGCAAAGAGTTTGCACAGTCTTTGCATAGGAACCTTGATATTTCTCAGTTTCAATACAAAAGACTTTTAAAGAATAGCTTGTTCCCACTCCTAAGTAGGAATAAGGATGCTCCAACCATGACAGTCCACGGACTTGAAGGAGGCAAACTTGACCGCACATAAGAAGCCCTGTTCTCTGGGACATGAGCCAGCTCATGGAACTCCATGGTGGATACACACTGCCTATCCAAGGCAGAATGAGTCAAATGTTTACCCTCTGAAAACCTTCCTAATGTTCTCATTTCCCCTAATTATAACCACTCACATTAGCCCTCCCGAAGTCAACAAGTGAATTTTGTAACTCTGGAGACAGAGTATCCAAGCGCTCCTAAGTCCCTTGTGTACGAGCTGAGACCTGAGGTCTTGGGCTAGTGACCTCCCATCTCGGGGCTTCCCTGACTGCCCTTCTAGGAGACTGCTTCATTCTTGGATTCAGCAGTGGCTTCCTGGATCCCCGGCATCGGCTAAGCCCTGGGGGAGATGGCAGTAACATGGCGGTGTGGCAGCAGATATGATCCCTACCTTCATGAAGCTTCTAATGGCTAATACTAATGGAGGGGTGGGGTGGGTAGCGGGTTCACAACAAAGCAGAAGGAAAGCAGGTAAAAGTGCTGGAAATTGCAGGGATCATCACAGTATCTATTCCATAGGGTTATTGGGTGGGATTGAATGAGATAATACATGTCAAAGCCTTAGTGGAAAAGCTGGCCCCTGGGCCACGCTCAATTAACTCTAACTATTATTATGAGTAATTATTGCTAGCTTCTCGCCCATTATTGAAACAAAGTATACTGCTGGTGAGATCACGTTCCCCTTGCCTTCTTCACTTATTGCCCAGGAAAGCATCTCACCGAAACCAAAGACGGCGTACAAACTCCTGGAGCCTTGGAGGGTGGTGGTGAAGAGCCCAGGTGGGCGCTGAGGATGACAGGACTAAAATCACAGCCCTGCTCCACATCTGCTGTGTGATCCTGGGCAAACAATGGAGCTTCTCCCAGACTCAGCTTTCTTGTTTGGGGAATGGGAATAATAATTAGGGCACAAGAAGTTTTTACAAGTATTTAATGAAACGATGCACATAAATCATTTAGCCCTGGTGCCTGATACTTGGTGAGCTCTGGGTACATAGAATTTTCCTTATAAAGTATAAAATTAGCATAGTCCAATCTCTCTCCAAAAACACTTGGGACATGCACTTTTTTAAAAAAAATCTCTCCGGGTTCCCTTCATCTAATTCTCCAACTTCTGTAACATCCTGTTACACAAGCTTTCTCAAAACTGTGCTGGCCGCCCCTCTTCCCTCTCATACTGAGGGACCCAGGGCCTCATGGACTCTGCTATCCTTTGGCTGCTGCATGGTCCCTGTGGCCCACGGGGAGATGAACAGCTGTCACGAAATGAAGCCTGTCCCTAACTGCGATACCCTCAGGATGAATGACAGGGTGTGGGATGAGTGTGGGGACCCTTTCAAGAACAGATTTTTGTATGAAGATTTTAAGAAGCTGTATGACTGTACTGGGGTTAACCTCCCTTGACAATGCCCTAAGAGGATGCCTGACAGCTGTGAGCTGGCCTGTGGGTGTGCAACACACATGCGCGCACGCATGCGCACACACACACACACACACACACACACACAGCCTCCCTTGCCCCTGCCTGCAGAGTTCCTCCACAGGCTCCCCAAACCCAAAGACAAATAAGCCAAGATTTAGGGAACTACAAATATCCCAGAAAACAAAGACCTATGGGGGACTGTCTTTCAACCCAGACATCACAACTGCCTGATTTTTTATCATCTGTCACGGGTAGATGATTTGAAAGCAGACTTGGTGGACATTATGAATACGACCAGCTTAAATCAAGCACCATACATCAAGTCCTCTGTTCAATGCAGAGACCTTTAAAATCAGGGATGCTGAGACATTTTCCTCGAGAGCCAAGGGCCACTGAATTTAGCTCTTGTTGCTATTTTTGTTGGTTTGTGGGTGGCTTTAAAGGCAAAAACCCCCTGCCCACGCCAGTCAGCATAAAACTCACCTGCCCTCAGCCTCTGGGGCCACAGCCGGCCCACCACCTGCTCTGGTTGGCACCCTCAGTGGGCATCAGGCCATCTTACAAAGGATTTCAACCTAGACAGAGGAACAGGAAGAAAAGAAACCTACAACGAGCTGGTAAACAGAATAGGAAAACGCATCCCCATTGACTGTAACGGGTAGGAGTCCAATCGTGGGTCTGTGCCTGCAGCTGCAGGGATACAAGGCTGAAGGATGTAAATTGATGTATGAGAGCAAAGGAGAGCCCCTCCCACCTGAGCCCTGAACAGGAACAGCCTGATGCGAACTCCTGCCGAGAGAGCCCCTACCAGGGAAACTGGCATTCTCTTATCTCCTGAACGCAACTCAGAAGCAGATTTTCTCTAAGTGTGTGTGTGTGTGTGTGTGTGTGTGTGTGTGTGTGTGTGTGTGTTGAGAAAGGTGGGGGAGAGGGCTGGGATGACCTTGTCTGCTGCTAATCCTCTTTTACCATTTCTTCATCTCGCAGCAGAGCTCACACTCTGACCTGGAGACGCTCCTTCCAGGAATTCATAAAGATACACAGACAAGGATAATGGCTAACATACTTCTGCTAAAAAAAAGAATGAAAAGGAACCTGAAATACCCATCAATAGAATGGATACATACATAAAAATGTTACGGAGTTATTCTACAAAGTTGATGTACATCCATACAGATTAATACGGAATGGTATCAATAAGAAAGTAAAAAAGCCACAATTCTCCAGGTGATATGAGCCTATTAACATATGCATGCGTGCATTTGCATGTGTATGCAATTATTGATAAATGACAACAGTCTGGAAGACAGTGCATCAAACTGTTAATAGTGTTTATTTCAAGCAGGCGGGATTGGGGATGCTTCATACTTTCTTCTTCTAGTTTCTGTTATCTAGGTTTTGGGGAGTTTTTTTTAATGAACATTTATAATCCCCAGCAAAGTTTGTTCCTTTCTTAGGGAACGTAAGAAAGGAGAACAAGTATTTGAGTCAATGCAGCACATTTTGCCTGGTAGAACAAAGCTCAGGGAATGTGACTGGGCCCCAGTTTGGTCAGGGTAAGCCTGACTGTTGTTTCCCGGATTGACGGAGACACATCTGAACAGCTCTCCTCTTTCATTCCCAAGACTTCTGCTAATAATAAATGACTGCTGACGGGCATTAGCAGTTTAGAAGTGGATGGGAGAAGGCTATGTGCAGAGTTAACAGACCCTTTCTGTGGTTTCTGGAAAGCTCCCCAATCCACAGGGGTGCCTGCCACCTTCCTGCACTATCAAATCATCATGTTGATTCAACTGGGAGTAGACACCTGCCATCTGACCCAAGATGGACCAGTCAGCTTCCTTCTCCTGGGAGCTTGGAATTTGGACAAAAAAGGAAAATCAGTTTGTGTTACAGGCTTCATCACATCCCCTCCAAAATTCATGTGCCAGTGTTCTAACTCCCAGTACCTCAGAAGGTGACCTTATCTGGAAATGGGATTACTGCAGACAGAATTAATTAAGATGAGGTTTAATGGGTGGGCCTTAATGCAACTTGTATCCTTATGAAAAATGGAAATGTGGACAGAAAGACATCACGCACAGAAAGAACACCATGTTACAGTGGAAGCAGAGGTCAAAGGACATTTCTATGTGCCATGGCACACAAAAGTCACCAGCAGGCCACCAGAATGCAAGAGAGAGGGATGGGAGTGTCCTTCAGAGTCCTTTGAGGAGCCAGTCCTGCAGACGCCTTGATTTGGGACTTCTAGCCTCCAGAACTGTGAGACAGTACCTTTCTATTGTTCAAGCCATCAAGTTTGCGGTCATAGCCAACTAACTAGTCTCTCCAGGTGTCCGAAACTATAATGCATGAGCTCAGAAGATGGGCCCATGACACACGTGGCCAGTGGGAGAGTCAGTCCCCTGGCAGAAGCAGACACAAGAGGTGCAGGGGAACCCACAAGTGCTTTCTAAGCCTGTTTCTGGCCCCTTCCTGAGGTTTTGGTTCCCCTTGTACCCAAACTGAATCCTATTGTTCTGCTTGAGCTATTTCCAGGAGATTTCTGTTTCAGCAACAAATATTTATAAATCTCGAATCTCTAATCCCACAATAATGGTAATGGAGCAGACCCACCAACACATAGAATTCAATTAAAGTTTGTTGAATTAGGGAATAAATATGCAAATGGATGTATGTAAGACAAACCGATCAGTAGCCACAAATTCAAGACGAGGATGGTTGATTTAAAATTCACGAAGACATCCAGGCAGAACAAGTCATATCCTAGAAAGAGGAGGGGAGAAGGAGGCAGCACTTTGTGCCACAACTAGGTAACACCAGGCAAAGTACTCTGCTTTGGTTCTGAACCAAAGGGCAGAAGAAAATGGCACCAATCTGTTCTTCTGCTCTGCCTAATGGCCTTTGGTAAAAGTCACCCCACCCTGTTCTTCTCCCTTCAACCGCATGATTTTGGTAGAGTTTCCAAAAACACTACCCACTTGTCCTTACCCTGGTGGTGGTCCCCTGGACAGGCTGGGCCAGTCCAAGGTCCCACACCTCCCTTTCCTGGCCACACTGATCATTTCAGGAAAGATCATGACCCAAGACCGGGCAAGAGAATCTTTTCCTGAGCACTGTAAGCCCTCAGCTGCCTCTTCTGAAATTCCAGCATCACAGAAGGAAAAGGAGGAACAAACACTTAATGGTTTTGATATTCCTGAATCCTGGCATCCAGAGGCCAGTAGACCACAGCTTTTCCCACCATGTTCTTAGAAGAGAAAATGAACTTTCCTTTTGTTCAAGTTAGCTCAGGTTGGGTTTCTGTCATTTACAAAGCCCTGATCTCTACAGAGGGCACAAAACTTCATTCATACCAAGAATGAGGAATGGTACCCACACCCCTAGACGTGGAGCAAGGTGCCCCACCATCTGGGAAGCCTCCAAATGAAGAGCACTCCCCTGTGTTACCACACAGGTTGGTATTTCTGAACGTGGCCACCCGTGAAATGGGCAGTGAGTCAGGATCACCCTATAATAGCACTCCAGGGGTTTGCCTGCAGGCCAACCTGACCGTTCGCACTTTTCAAGCATCTGAGCCCAAGAGCTACAGATCAGGGAGGTCAGGAGACAGTAACTGGGAGACAGGCAACAGAGACAGATAAGAGCAGAACCCCAGGAACATGAGGGCTCTGGTATCGAGGAGAAGACACAAGCTCCCGACAGAGCATCTTCTAGGATTTCTGTTGAGAGAAACAATATAGCCATGAGAGCAGGCTTAGGCTCAAATCTGGGTAATAGCATTTCTGGAAGTTTCACCTCTCTGAGACTCCATTTCCTTATCTGTATAATAGGAGACAAATGTTGACTTCAAAGGGTGTCATGGGAATTAGATGAAATAATGGTATATAATGAGTGAAGCATTTCACACCAGGGAGAAAAGGGTTTTCAATAAATGGTCTTGGAATAACAGGGTAGCCATCAGAAATTTACAAAGAAGGAGTGGGTGGCTCACTCATTTAAGCATCTGACTCTTGATTTCAGCTCAGGTCATGATCTCGGGATCCTGGGATTGAGCTCTGTGTTGGACTCTGTGCTTAGCAGGGAGTCTGCTTGAGGAATCTCTCTCTCTTTCTCTCTCTTTCTCTCCCCCTCCATCCTTCTGCCCCTCCCCAGATCACACTCTCTTCCTAATATAAATTAATGCATCTTTAAAAGAAGAAAGAGAAAGTACAAAGAAATATGCATACCTGGGACACCTGGGTGGCTCAGTGGGTTAAAGCCTCTGCCTTCGGCTCAGGTCGTGATCCCAGGGTCCTGGGATCGAGCCCCGCATCAGGCTCTCTGCTTGGCAGGGAGCCTGCTTCCCCTCTCTCTCTGCCTGCCTCTCTGCCTACTTGTGATCTCTGTCTGTCAAATAAATAAAATCTTTAAAAATATATATATACACATACATAGATCATACACCAAATAAACCACAATGGATCAAAGATGGAAATATGAAAATAAAGCCAAAGAAGTCCTGGGGAAGGGCGCCTGGGTGGCTCAGTTGGTTGTGTCTACCTTCACCTCAGGTCATGATCCCAGAGTCCTCGGGTCCAGCCCAACATCAGGCTCCTGCTCAGCAGGGAGTTTGCTTCTCCCTCTCCCTCTGCCTCTGCCTCTCTCCCTTCTTGTACTCTCTCTCTCTCAAATAAATAAATAAATGAAATCTTTCAGGGGGAAAAAAGGGGAGAATTGGAAGGGAGTTATTATAACGTCACAATGGGAGACACCTTTCTGATAACAGCACAAGTCACAAAAGGTTGACAAATTCAGTCATGTACAATATTTTTTAATTAGCATGAAAAAACCACTTATGCAAAGCGAAAGACTGACGAGCTGAGGAAAATCACGGGGAAAATGCTAACTTCTCTCATAAATAAGAACTTCCAGAAACTGAAGTCAAAGACACAATCTGAAACAGAAAGAAATATAAACACAAAAGGCAAATGACCGAACAGAGACAAAGACACTCATTCATGCTAAGAGACATGTCCATTGTCATATACAAAGATGTCAGTGTTTACCTAGTATATTGGCAACAATGCAAAAATTGGGTAACCCATGGTGCATTGTGGAGCAGATATACAGCTACAGGCTGTGAAAACAGATGTCACCATCACACAGGACTCCGTGGCATCATCTACCAAAACCACAGAGGCACATACCTCTTGATGTGGCAAATTATACTTCTCGCAGTTTATCCTACAGATATAGCTGTGACGGAAAATGACTTCTACGCAAGGTTTCTCATCAGGGCATTACTTGTATTTGCAAACAAACGGAAACAAATTTTAATGGCTTTTTCTAGACGACTGAACAAATTTTGTAATCTAAACAATGGATGGGATATAATGCTGTCTTCCCCAAGATAAGCAAACCAAAAATGGGTTCTTTTATGTTCTGGCCTGGAAAGAACCATAAGTATCTTGTTAAGTGAAAATATTAAGGGGTACAGAATGCTTCCACTTGTGTTTGTTTTTTTTTTTAAGATTTTATTTATTTATTTGACAGAGATCACAAGTAGGCAGAGAGGCAGGCAGAGAGAGAGGAAGGGAAGCAGGCTCCCTGCTGAGCAGAGAGCCCGATGCGGGGCTCGATCCCAGGACCCTGGGATCATGACCTGAGCCGAAGGCAGAGGCTTTAACCCACCGAGCCACCCAGGCGCCCCTCCACTTGTGTTTTAAAAACAAAAACAAACACAGAAAGATAAGGGTGAAGGGTATCTGGAAGGACGCACAGAAACCATTAATAATACTGTTCTCCAGCACACAGTTTCCACTGATGCTTTTTCTCAATTGTGATTCTATTATTTACTCAAAAACTAATTTTAAAACAAACAACAAAAGAGGGGCTCCTGGGTGTCTCGGTTGGTTAAGCATGGGACTCTTTGTTTCAGCTCAGGCCATGATCTCAGGGGCATGAAACTGAGCCCTGAGTCAGGCTTCTTACTCAGCACAGAGTCTGCTTGGGATCCTTCCCTCTCCCTCCTCTCCTCCCGGCTCTCTAACAAACAAAATCGAAGAAAAAGAAGAAGAAGAAGGAAGGGGGTG